GGTCACGTGACCTTGAGATGACCTTGGGAGGGGGTCACGTGACCTGGAGGGGTCACGTGACCTTGGGGGTCGCGTGACCTTGGGATGACCTTGGTTACGCCGACGGCGACGCCGACGGCGACGGCGACGGCGACGCCGCTCAAGCCGGGAACGGGCCCCTAAGAGCTGCGCTCTAAAATTGTTCCACCCACTTTTTATCAAGGCCATACGGTCTTATTATCTAAAAGTACAGTTGAAGAAGTGCTAAAAAGACTGCGAGCTACAGACCAATATCCTTGTGTAATGTAGACTACAAGATGTTCGCGAAATTACTCACGGAACGACTTTACATGACAACTCATTCTCTAATCGGAGTAGACCAGATGTGCGGAATCAGAGAAGAACAATTCAAACCAAGTACACGTCGCCAGATCCGTTCTGGAGTGTGCGACGGATTGCAATGATTAGGTTGCATTGAAACAAGTTGATCTTTCAAAATCCTTTGATCGAGTCAGTCACTCTTTTTTGTTCCAAATTTTTTCCCATATCCACATTGGAGACACTGTCCTTTCAGGTGTTCATTGATTCTACCGAACTTAACACTCTTTCAACCCCAATCGCTGTCAAATCTTCAGTGAGGCAAGAATGTCCTCGATCCCCTCTTTTGTTTGCCTTATATCTCGAACCATTGTTCTTTAGTATAATTAGAAGTCTTAATGTTCGAAGGTACATTCTCAATTTCACTGAGGTGAAGTTGTTGGCTCATGCCGATGACGTCGCTTTTTTTTTTTTTTGCTCTGAAAGGGAAAATGTAAAAGAAGCACTCCGAATAACGTATATTTTTTGTGCGTTATCAGGTGCATCAGTTAATAACGATAAGTTGAATGAATTTTGGTTGGGCAAATGAAGAACAACGCCATCAAAATTTGTAGGAATCCAATGATATCAACTCGAAATCAAATATCTCGGCGTACATCTTGATGAAACTAGGGATAGCGGGCCATACTGGATATCAGTTGAAACAACTATCAAACAAAAAACTGACACCTGGCGAGTACAAGATCTTTACGTCTTCTCCAAGGTGTCTGCAATCTTTTTCTCTTATCAAAACTTATATGCATCCTACAAGTGCCAAACTGTGTCCGCTCGCGAATCTAAGAATTTCATCGTAATTGTTTGCCGCCTTCATTTGGAGTTCCTCCTGTGAACGGATTAGACGGTATAACTTATTCCTACCTTTGGAGGATAGGGCCTTGTTCATTTGTTTGTACGCCAACCGGCCTCTAGGCTGTTTTTCTTTAGAAGTATGACACATGCGTTCCTACTCTCACTTATCCAAAGGAAGCTGGCATCACATTTGCCATTTATGATAGTTAAAACTGCGCACGTAAATCAATAGAGGCTTACGGGGTTTTGAAAGGAGGTTGTCGACGCATTGTTCTTTCTGATCGGTTTTTGTTGGAATATTTAATTAGTGTTTTAAGGAAATGTTTGTCTTATGCGCTGGTTGAAGATTTGTTTTTCTCTCCCAATTTATAGGTCAATGTTTAGGGACAATCCAGGACAGGATGTTTATTGGCGCGTTAAAAAGCTGTGTGTATCTCCCAGTGCAAATACATTTTTCCTTAAAATGCATACCTCAACATTACCTGTCAAGTGGTGGCTTCAGGAAAAGGGACTCTTCTATGGTCGATAAACTGTCGACTATGTAACAAGCCTGAGACCATGAAACATTGCTTCGTTTACTAGAATTAAGCAGTTTTTTTGGGGGATGTTCTTCAACGAACACTGAAAAAAGATCTTGATTTTACGGAATATAGTATACATTTTCTTCCTTTTGAAACACTCGAACTTTTTACATATAATTTATTCATGCTTTTAACCCTGCATGGCCTGCGGAAGTGCCGCATGATAGATAGAAATGCTGAACTACCACGTACGACAAGATCTCTCTTTATTGAAGAAGTTGCCAAAGTAAAGATCGTGTACGAGGCACGAAGCATCGGTACCAGAATGGTTCAGTCTCTTTGATGCATGCCTAAGCCTACCACGCTTTTATTTCAAACATACGTTAACATATCAGTACATCGTTTTCAAATGAGTAGTATGATAAATTTCTGACCATGTTAATACTATAATTTGAGGCACCAGGTTTGTTTTGCACTTAATGTCCATCTGTGTATTTTTGTACTTCGCGACTCGCATACCGTTACGTGTAAGTATCTTGAACGTTTCATGCAATAAGGAGTGAGAACTGGGCATTGCGAACCGATCGAGTTGACATGAAGTATTAATACGAAGTGATTATGTTTTGATTTGTTTTGATTGTGTCTTCTTCATGCATTAAATATACAAAGAAAAAGTCTCCGTGTGGCATAGTCGGTAGCGTGTCTACCTCGCAACCGAAGAATCGTGGGTTCGGATCCCGCCTCCGCCTAAAATTTATCGATACTTTTTCTATAACTCAAATGTATTCCCTTATAAAGTGAAATCATTCGGACATGCGGCGAATTTTAATTCGGAGTACCATGCCATGTTTTAATCCCTTTCATTCCACGTGTGACGTCACGCTTCACCTGTGCGAATTGTGGGTTGTTCAAAATTCCCGCGTGAGGTCACGTGTCTGTGACGTCATGACCCTATGGAACATTCAAGTTTTTTCATTCCGCCGACCCCGATGCCGACGCCGGCTGTTTTGCGACACGAGCTCCTTAACGCTGTCGCTTTAATAAATGCAAATAGGATTGTCAAATTTGGCGCAGACGCTCCGCTAACCCGTGTCGTCTGCTTTCACATGTTGAACCGCGGATAGCAGCGCCTAAACCTTGGTGCTGATCTCACTCTCTCGTCTGCGTTAGCGTCCACCGCTTAAAATTTGAAGAATTTTGCTCTGACTATTTGCGGAAAAGGACGGACACCTTAAAATTTCACGCGGGAAACGCCAACACTAAAGCAAAACCTTCGATGAAAATGAAAGCTTGCCACAGGCGTGAGCCTGTTTTACCGATTTATTTTATAGTAGGCGTCTGGGTCAATAACACCCTACATAACAAAAAAAAGAATTTCTACTGTAATTTTTTTTTTTAAATATATGCTTCCGCGTTTACTGAATGCGCGGCTCCTGGTAAATGCTAATTAAAACAATCGGCAAACCTTTTTTTTTTTTTGTATTCGCCAGCGCAGTGTTTAGAAGCAAGCCCGCTTTGCCCACACGCTGTGTGGGCACTGCGCATGCGCAGAAACCAAATTTGGGAGGGGTGAAACATCCACGCATGCGCAGTGCCGACAGCAGCGCCACCGCAGCGGCGTGACGTCAGAGAGTTGAGTTGGTCTATAGTTTATTTTATTTATTTTTATTTTCAAAATACTGCCAATCCCCATTGAGGGATTATAGCAGGTATGGTACCAATAAAAACAACAGACACAATTTTTGAGGCGCGCGAAAATAAGTAATTCTTAGAAATCGTCACTTCCTTTCATATTGAAACAAACGAAAACAGAACAGAACAGTAAGAACTAACTGATGAACTTGCTGAGAAGGTCTTGTTCAAGAGCTTGAATGAACGCATCCACATTTGTGTAGCTAAAAAAGAGCGGATCAAGGCTGTTCCAATCTCTTACAGCTGAAGGAAAGAAAGAGTACCTAAAAGTATTATTATTGAAAGAGTATTCAGTTAATGTACTGCAGTGCTTATGTCTTGTTGTTCTTGCCTGGGAAAAATTCACATACTTGTTCTTGTCCATTTTAAAGGCGTCGTTTAAAAGGAGATATAAAAATTTGAGTCTTCCTAGTTTTGCGCGATCAGCAATGGTCAGTAGGCTGGATCTTTTCAGCAATTCTGTAGGGGAATCAAAGCGACCATACTTGTGGTGAACAAATCTTATCGCTTTCCTCTGAACACTTTCGAGGATGTTGACATTGGTTTGCGTATGTGGGAACCAAGCAATGAGTGCGTATTCTAATACCGGGCGAACGAGTGTGGTGTATGCGAACAACTTGGTTTCACGACTAGAGTGTTTTAACGTTCTTTTCAGAAAAAATAATTTGACGAGCGCTTTACTAGATACGTATTTGACATGTGCATTCCAGTTTAAATTAGACGTTAACACGACACCTAGATATTTGTATTCAGTGACTCTGCGCAAAATTTTACCGTCTAAGCTGTAAGGAAATTCCAGAACATTTTTTTTCTTATTGGTCAAGCACATACAAACCGTCTTTTCAGTGTTTAAAACCATCTGCCATTCACTGCACCAGTCTGCTACCTTCTTTAAAGATCTGTTTAATATTGCTTGGTCATCTTGGCATGAGATATCGCGATAAATAATGCAGTCATCTGCAAATAACCTTATGTTTGCGTCAGTGCCATCAACCATGTCATTAATGTACAGAAGAAATAAGAGTGGAGCTAGGACAGAGCCCTGTGGAACTCCCGACTCCACTGCAACTGGTTGTGAAACCTGTCCTTCGTAATAAACAAACTGAAAACGATTTCTTAAATACTCCTCTATCCATTTTACTATCGGTCCCTCCCCCATAATATGTTTAAGTTTTTTTACAAGTTTGACGTGCGAAACACGGTCGAAGGCCTTTGATAAGTCTAAGTAAATTACGTCAATTTGTCTTCTATTGTTTATACCCATCGAAAAGTCATGAAGTGTTTCGATTAGCTGTGAAGTCGTTGACAAACCTCTCCTAAAGCCGTGCTGGTGTGCATTTAGTATATTATGTTTCTCAGTGAATTTTGTCATAAATTTCAAAATTATGTGTTCCATTATCTTGCAGCAAGTACACGTTAGGGATATAGGTCTGTAGTTAGAAGTTAAAGAGCTATCGCCAGACTTATGAATAGGAATAACTTTTGCGACTTTCCACTCTGCGGGAACCAAAGAAAGACTCAAAGACTTGTTAAAAATTAGCACTAAATACTTGCTTATCCATTCAGCGTATTTTTTTAAAAACATGTTAGGAATTTCGTCAGGGCCCGTACCCTTTTTTGCGTCTAAGTCGAGTAAAAGTTTTAGAACGCCTGCTTCTGTGATGTGTAAGCCACCAAGATCTTTATCTGCGTAGGTTTTAGAAGGTAGAGTTAAGTTTTCTTTGCCATTATCAGCTGTGAAGACGGACTTAAAGAAACTACTGAATTCTTCTGCCATTTTTTGTGCCTCCGAGGCACTTATGTTGGAAGTTTTAGACTTTCTGAGAATTATATGGTTCCAGAATTTTTGCGGTGATGCTTTCATAAAATTGTGGAGTGTAATATTGTAGTATTTGTGCTTTGCTTCTTTGATCTTCAGTTTGAGCAGTCTGGATAGTTCCGATATAGTTGGATTGTGGTTGGTGAGTGGACGCTTTTTGGACGACTTTCTTAGTCTTTTTAGCTTACGCTTCAGGTGAATGATTTCACGTGAAATCCATGGGTTTAGCTTCCTTATCATTTTACGTTTACTAGGAATAAACTTAGTGATGCAGTGATTAATAATTGACTTGAGTTTTTGCCATAGTTCGTCAATACTAATATCAGTTTCATCATAGAGTTCTTGAAAGTCGTTAAATTCATGAGCAAGATAAGTTTGAATGCTAGCATCGTCGGCTTTGTAGAAATCGAGCACGTATTTGGCGCAGCCATGGGAGATGGCGGAACTACGAACAGGTACCGTGCATACAACAATTTTATGGTCTGATATCCCCTCCACCACTTCTACGCAAGTTTGAGCCCGAGGAAAGTGGTCACTGAGGAACACTCCGTCAAGCAAGCTCCGTGACGATCCCTGCACCCTGGTTGGTTCCCTGACGATTTGGGTTAGATTGAACGCAAATAGCATGTCTATAATAACATCAGCAGTGTCCAGGCCAGAGTGCAGCGAGTCCCAGTTTATTTCGGGCATATTAATATCACCCGTCATGATGATTTTATCGCTTTTAATATTTGCTAGCATGTAGTCATAGAGGCTATGAAGATACTGTAGGTCAGAGTCTGGGGGACGATAAACAACGCCGACATCAATAGAATAATTTTCAAAGGAGACCTTACACCATAAAGATTCCACGTTTTTTACCTCAGGCATAGGCATATAAGAAAGACCGCGTTTTAAGATGATTGCTAAACCACCACCCCTTGTTAATCTATCCTTTCTTAGAATAATGTAGTCTGGTGGCAATATTTCGCTGTCAGATATTAACGGGTGTAGCCACGTTTCAGTTACTGTAACGATTTCTGGATTGTATTCCAAGAGTATAGACTCTAGTGCATCTACCTTATTTAGAAGACTTCTTGCGTTTAAATTAAGGACTGTAACATTAGACGGTAAAACACGGTTATCAACTAGGTGTGGTCGGTGACATCGTTTTTTGCTATTAGAACTTTGTCATTTTTATCCTCGTCCCATGCGTACCACTGCCCGTTTACCCTGACCTTATCGAAAGTCAAGAACACTTTGTCGTTTTTATCTCGATTGATTTTAGTGCTTTCCCACAGTTTCTTTCGTATCTGTTGCACGGGGCGTGAAAAATCCTCGCTGATAGAAAACGTTGTCCCTTTCAATTTGAAGCAATTTTTCAGCACTCTTGTCTTATCTCTGCAGTCAAGTAGTTTTAGGATGACAGGTCTAATTTTTTGGTCCGTCTTTTTTCCCAGACGGTGAATTCTTTCGATGCCTGATATCGGCGTGTTAAGAAGCTTTCCGAAGATTTCGTCTGAAACCACTCTTTCAAGTATTTCACTGTTTTCAGTGTCTTTTTCTTCGATTCCGTAGATTATCAAGTTTGCTCTTCTGCTTCGGTTTTCCAAATCGTCTAGCTTTTTAGAAATGGTTTTGATGTTAGCTTCAAGTTCATTTATTTTTTCTTGACACGCACTGACGGTAGTTTGGAGCGTACTAAAGCTTTCTAGCTTTTGTTCGATGGCTGAGAGTCTGTCATTTGTTGTGACCTTTTCGTTCTTTATGTCCTGTATATCTTTAGCAATGGCTTTAAGCTGTTCCATTATAATCTTCATGTCCGGACCAGGGTTAACCTCAACATCACCGCTAAGCACGAGTAGCATTTTTAAATACACGATCACATTGCACAACAATGAATAACACGACCGTGGCCACGGCAGCAAGATCAGGCACACGTTATTACTACGAAAAGATAGGTAGTAGTGCCTCCTTACCTGTACGATAAAGACGAAAGGGTTTTTAAGCCTCATGTCCGAGAAGCTGCCGTGCCCAGTGTCGTGGTGCCTCCCGCTGCCCGGTTTTATAGCCTCAAACGAAGCTGTCGATGACGATGGCTTGTCGAAGATGGGCCGCGGGTATTCGTTTTGAAGTGGGTGGGTCCGGTGCTTGTGACGCTCGCTTGTGTCCGGTTGGTCAAAACGTCTGATGACGGATGCAGACAGCGGGACGTCGGACACCGTAATCTTGCCGAGGGTTGCATCATCCACGCTGATAGGCACCAGCAGAATGTCGAGCAAAATCTGTACGATAAAGACGAAAGGGTTTTTAAGCCTCATGTCCGAGAAGCTGCCGTGCCCAGTTTCGTGTTATTCGCGTCCTTCTACTTATCGCGGGCCACTATTGAGAGTGTTTTTTTTCTTATCCAATATAAGATATCTAGAGGTAGAAAAAAAAGAACGTTATTGTTGAAGGAGTAAAGCTATCCCAACCGCCATAGAAAAGCCTATTTCGAGTCACTTGCAGCAATGACAATAGTAAAAAATACGCACAAAAAATGCTATTGACTGACACAAGGAGAGAAACCCTTCCGCTCGATGGGTTCCTGAAAATAAGAACTCTTTTTTTTTTCTTACAGATTTTATTTTGCCTGTTTGCGCAGACTATAGTATAACGTCCCCAACGCAGTCGGAGCGATATTGGGAGACACACGTCAGGCAGCTGGCCATCCATGGGACGAGCGCCATCTTGGTGCAAAGCCCGTCAATTTTTTGTTCGCTTCATATATATATATATATATTTAAGCTTGTGTCTTCTCCACCTGCTTTTTAAAGATGTTTTATTTTCTTTCTATATATTCGTTGTGGCATTTTCGTGCCTCGGAGAAAAGGGAAGAAAATAAATTAAATGCGTACGATTGACTTTTGTGTTTTAAGGCTCCTATTTTTTTTTTTTTTTTTTTGCATTTGGGTTTTTGAAGTAAAATATATACTTATGAATTGGGAAAGTAAAGAAAACAAATAAATAAAAAGAAATAGTTCGGGGGGCTTGTGCGGAAAGGTATATAGACTAAACAGAATTTTTACATTGCGATATTAGTTGGTCAGATGTGACGCTGCTTTTGATGTCCGCCGAATGATAGTGAGAGGAAACACGCAACAGTCGGTGGGCAAGTTTAGAAATCGCCTAGTAAAAACTTCGTTACAATGCACTTGAAAGAACATTCGTTTGGTCTTTCTTGATACAATTTAGCCAATAGGTCTTATGTTCAATAGTTTTTATGTTCAAATAGCTGTGCGTTCCGAGCGGCAAACTATGTGGACGCCTTTTTGACAGTGAGGCTGGTAGACGAGCACGATATTGCAGGAAATGTATTAAAGGAAGACTGAGAGTCACATCGGTAGTTTAAGTTTCTGTTTTTGATTAAAACAAAGAAGCAGCTAAAAGGTTTAGCCAGAAAACATGCCTTTGTGTAACGCTAGTCAAAATATTAGGCGCTGCAGAAGATCACTCATATTCATTCAGTTTTTATTTCGAACTATTTTTGTTCACCCTCCGCCAACGTTACTAGATTAGCCCAGTTACGGGACTGGGCATAGCAATACCCATAGACGCTGCTTGTACGGGTAGCACTCTCCCACCATGGCTTGCCTTCCGTAAAGTCCCTCGATGAAGTTCACGCTTACAAGTACGGCCAATCACTGTTATGAAAACGCACAGGACACGTGCCACGAGCGCGTGCTCCGCCGCCATTCGCTTCCAAGGGCAGCTCATTTCGGTGCTGCGCCGCCATTTGCTTCCATGGGCCGCTCGATACACGGGTTTCGTGCACTAGCGCATTTGACGCTACTTGCAAGACAAACGCAAACACATCGAGGGTCTTTTGCCTTCCATCTTTAGACACGTCACCGGTTTTAGCATGACTGCTCTGGCAATTGCAGCATATTCCATGGAATGCATATGTTTTATTAAACAGGGTACAGGTGGCGTTTCATGCGCAGTTTTGCAATGACAATCTAGATGGCGCTTCAAACGACGGAAGGCTAAAGCCCCTTTATACGGAAAAGTAGCGCCATCTTTTGAACAATGCCGCCTGCTATCTTGGCCCGATCCAGGCGGCGCTAGAGCCGATGCGCGAGTGTAAAAAAAGCAAAACATGAAGATAAAAGGTGTGCGCGTCAGAGGAGGAGGGAGAAGATGGCGCTACCTTTCTTATTCAGGGGCGTTAGGGAAGGCGTACTGAAGTGAGTAAGGGGGGAGGGGGGTACCCCAGAGCCGTGTATAAAAAGAGTTTGGCCATTAATTGGGAAGTATGGGAAAAAAATGAGGAGGCACCATTGGCCGAAAACGGGCCGGGCGTGTTCCAGGGCTTCAGAAATTCGAATGTGGCCAACCAGAAGCCGGGAATAATACACTGGCGGTGGTCGCTAGAAACGAACTTAATAAGCGCATCGGAGTAACTCTCGGTGACTGAAAATATGGTGCACGTGATGTTTCAATCACGGTCATCCAAAATCATGGTGGTATAGCGCGACTAGCGGAACGATCGACATAAATTCGTACGCCAGGCGCCCACGGCTGGGAATCTGCCGTCCGAGCGGTCACACTCTGTCCGAACAAAACAGAGTTCGAGCGGCCCATTCGTTTCTTACATATTTCTGCATGGTCATAATCGAAACATCACGTGCACCCTATTTTCAACCAAAAAGGGTTACTACATTTAACTCTTCTGCGCTTATTAAGAACATATACCTATGATTAAAACTGTTTCCCGCTACCACCGCTAGGGGGGTCTTTTCGGCTTCTGGTTGGCCATGAGAGCATGTTAAGCCCTCTTTCTGCGTTTGGTGCACGCCCTGGCTTTGCCCGCGCGTCCCATTGACCAAACTCTTTCTATGCACGGTTCTAAGGTACCCCGCTGATCCCTGTTGTAGTATAGGCTGGATCGCATATCGAGGATTGTCTTGCTGGGATTGAGTGGCACCACCGGCAGCCATCGCTTGACACCCCCAAATGCATGGGACTCTGTGGAAAAAAAAAAAGTGCTGTTTCCCCGTTTCTAAGTTGCGGTCAGCACTGAAACGTCTTGGCTGCTTTTCGGAAAGCCTGCCAAATAGCTTGTGCACAAACATTAAAACTGACAACCCTCAGAGTTCTTAAATAAAAATGTTTTGTGGTCGAGAGTGACTCCGGTTGGCGAAAACCGCAGTGCAGCTTCATGAGATAAGAGTTACCTAGAGTTATCTAGAGTTACCGCGGAAACGGCGGCGGTTTCCATGAGCTGGGATTAGCAGACGACAAACTCGAAGGCTTTGCAACGCGGAATTCGCTTCCCCCCGGAAAACCGCTGTCAACATGGAACTTCTTCGACATTATTCAACTTTTGGGCTTCCCCGAGGACGGTCTTATTGACGGCAAGTTCCTTTGTTTACTCCACGACGAGAGCGAGCTTACCAGCTCAACCCTAAATGCTCCGGAAGAGTATAAAGATCCAGTGCAATTACACGCGCACTCGATGACATCAAGGGCGCGTGCACTTGTACTGGATCTTTATACGACCGCGTTCGCAACCGCTTTGCGAACACGGATCCGCTTCCAGTGTGAATGAGCTGTAATAGTCGCAGCGCATCATAAAATGCTCGCCTTCGAGCACCGCGTATAAGCTTGAATATTCCTACTTTTTTTTGTGCTTTTCCCATAGAATTGCATGTATTGCCTGGTGTCAAGTAATGGCCGCCGGTGGTGTTAGGAACAGGCTCCCGGTCCGCGATCCAGCCTCCTACAATAGAGATCAGTGCGGTGCCCCCCTCCCCGGTAGTTCCACAATCTTGGATGTGCTCCAAATCTTACCCGAATAAATCCCAGTTACTCCGACAGGTTGTGTCACGTGACAACAGAAATGGAGCATCTATGGACGAGGGTAAGCTTTCGAACGCCAAGGTACAAAACCCTTACCCTGGAGTGAGATCGAGTAAATTTTGGAACACGACTCTAATAACCTTACCCTGCTCCCATTGACCCAGTAAGGGTGACGTCACTACTCTAAACAATTCGTTGCGAGGGGCGTTGCTATGGACGAATACATGGGACTGGATTTCGCTCCTAATGAACCAGCATTCAAAAATTGGACGCTGCGTTTAAACGTCTAAAAATAATAGATAGAGGACGAATAGATTTCAAACTTATTCCGACAGAAGTTTGCCGAAATTCGGCTGTTTCTGAAATGTTTGCGACGGCGACTTTTGGTCCTCAAAACGTCTCGAGTTGCCTGTTGCAGACAACGAACGCATACAGAATGACTGAAGTATGCCGTCCGCAGCAGTTTGAATTGTTCGCACATTGATGCGATCTTGATTTTCTATTTATTGAGAACATGAGAGGTCTAAGAAAACCCCTCAGGTTTATAAAAAAAAAAACGATTTATACTTTCATACGATATGAGACGTAGTGTCTAACAAAAATAATCACAAGCATGGGAATCTGCGAAAAATACTGCGAAAGACGCATCTGGTTAGATTATGATTTCAAAACAGTGTCAGGCCCTGCTCTTTGATTTCGCAGTTGACGTGCCTTCTACAAAAGTAGCGATTCTTGTGACTGTAACAAGCAGATCAAAACCCCAAACTTCGTGAAAAAAAAAATCTGCTGATTCTTTCGTTTTCCGTAAGACCCGAAATAGCGAAAGATGTGGATAAAAACATGATCTAAGTTATACTGTATACGTATCGGCCACGGACAGTTCGTTTGATTACATAAATGTGCTCCGAAGAAACTTAGCTGGCGTCAGAACTTCTTGTAACGTGTGCTAGCCTGCACTTCGACGTTGATATACTTCACGTCGTCGTCGTACGTGATTCGGCTTCATAATGTTTTCACACTTCTCAAATATTGCGGAAGCCTCCACGGACAGGCGTTCGGGCGCTTTCGCACCTCCAGCGTGGATCAAAGTTGTACAGGGGCACTCTTCGCTTCAAATATTCCTCCGAAAGTTTAGAAGTTTCGTCGCTCGTCACCAGCTTAATTTAACGCAGTGGCGTAATCCCGCACAAAAAACCAGTGAACCCGCAAAGCCACCGTGTCGTCTGATAGCAAGGCAAAACCGATTGTGAAACATTATTACAAACTTTTTATCATGGCTTTATTACACTGATGCGATAGAAAACGTCTTAATGATTAGATATTGAGGAGACACAAGGCTTACAAAAATACTTGGATTTTTTTTTTTGTTTATTAGACAAACTCTAACTTCACACCGAGCCCCCATGCATTTGTCCATAGCAACGGTTCTAGCAACGGTTTGTTTAGAGCACAGTGCCGTGTTGTTACGTCATCACTTACG